AGAGAGAGAGAGAGAGAGAGAGAGAGAGAGAGAGAGAGAGAGACGAGATGATACAACTGTACAACTGTTCACTCATTCTCTACATCCGTCTGTTTGTAGTAACTCTGTACATTAAAACAAAGTTATCGCTTTTTGTGTCCAATTCTATTTTTGGTTTCGTTCTTTTTTTTTTTTTTTTTAATTTTAAAAGGGTGACGGCCTTGAGATATCATCATTAAGCTGACCGGCCCCAGGCAGTTCAGAAATAGTTGGTTTTACAACTTTACTCGTCAAGTTCCATCATCTGGATTCGAACACGGGTCTGTTTTTTCAACAGTTCATGGGTGTACCCACTGAGCTAGGCTCTTGTTTTTTTTTTTTGTTTTTCAACAGCAATGCCCCTTCTATTCTGGGGGCGTGTCCTGCTGGTCGGGAAGCTTGCTAGCACTCGTMTACCCTTTTTTTTTTTTTTTTTAATAACAAAAAACAAAGCCTAACGTCTCTGGCTTTTTTCCCTCTTCTTGTTTCACTTTCAGTTCCGAGATCTAATCTCCAATTTCACTTCTTTGGCAACATCAAAGCAGAGCCAAATGCAAATCTGTCAAACGTCAAATCCGACACATCCTTTCTCCTCCCAAACTCCTCTTTCCTCTCTCGGCATGACATAATGCATAGTGATCTCCGCGTACATCTTTCTGACGCCGGCGGAGTGGTGTTTGTCCTCCTTGTATTTTTTAGCTATATCACTGCCCAATGAACCGCTTTGTATTTTAGCAAAGTCACTGCCCAATGAGCCGTTTGTGCAATTTGAGGATTTTCTTTGCATGTCCCGAAATTTGAGGATTATTCTTTGCATGTCCCTAAATTTGAGGATTATTCTTTGCATGTCCCTAATTTTGAGGATTATTGTTTGCATGTCCCTATAACATTCTTATCTTTGTTTTTCTGCAGGTAAAGCAACACTTCAAGTATGACATTTTGCAAAAAGACGAGTTCAAGATTGTGTACGTAGCTCCTATGAAGGTGAGCCCTCTCTCCTCTCTCTTCCTACTCATCCCAAAGTACTCACAGTTGGAGGTCTTGGGCGAGGGTTAAGGTTAGGTCCGACAACACGGATACTAGATGAGAGAAAGAAAGTTATAGAAAATTAGAAATAGTTTTATTTATTTATTTATTTATTTAAGTCAAATGCAGAAGTCGTCGTTTTTGTCAACAATTGAGTTTTCTGATCCAAAACAAATCGGCAGAAAAGCTATATGCGTTGCGCGCATTTTTGCGGTGAACTGGACTGCGTTGCCAATGCGGACTTAGAGATTCGTGTGGTTGTGACAGGCTCTGGCAGCGGAGGTTACAGCAGCTTTCTCAAGGAGATTGGCCCCTCTTGGCTTGGCGGTGCGAGAATTAACGGGGGACATGCAGCTGACGAAGAAAGAGCTAGAAGAGACTCAGGTCTTTCCCCTTTCCTTTCTTTTTTTCCTGATTCTTTCTTCAGTTAAATTTTCAATCACTTTTATAAAATCTTCGGATCGTCAAACCAATGTGTTTTGCCACTGCATTTCCAAATTTGCAGTCAAGCAGGGAAAAAGTCTGCAGATCTTTCCCACCAGCCTCTCCTCTCTCCTCTCTCCTCTCTCCTCTCGCCTCTCTCCTCTCTCCACTGCCTCTGCTCTATGGAACACCTTATCTGTACTGTATATCTACGACAGGCTACTGTCTTCTTCCCCCAAATAGAATGTACGGTCCTAGACTGAAACTTGCCCCAAATAACTCCATAATGACCGTACGTTCTATTCGGGGAAAGACGGAAGCGCTTGACGTGTCAGCATTTTAGTTTCAAAAAGGTGTCTGCTGGACGAAATTCCACAGGTCGTATCACCCTTTTCCATAGAGGCTCCCACGCAAAACGATTGCAGCGAAGAATTGACTTTCAACGTAACACTTTGTTGACGGGTACTATCATCCGCTTTGATCATGCCACTAGGCATTTGATTCAAGCATTCGACAATGATTTGAAGACTTTGTCCGCATTGAAGAGTCGCTGAATGTCAGTTAGTGTTTTGCTCGCTGTTTTTTTTTTTTGCCAGTTGCTTCTATCTTAGACTAGATGACCCGTTGCGGCTTCGCCCGCAAAAACAGAAAAGGAAAAAAAGCACAAAAGAAAGAAAAAGCATAAGGAACTCCCCTATCATATTCCGCCGAGCCTTTTTTTCCCTTTATCTTTGAGTGTTTTGTTTGGGGAGCCATTACCTTCGCAGCATCGTTTTTGTTTTGTGATGTGCAACAACTCCACTTTTCTGAGAAAATCCTGTCCATTGTCCCGTTGATGTTTTTGCAGCTAAAGATTCAGATTCAGACTTTGTTTGCTGTGTTCTCTGGATATGTTTGTGATCAACCCATCTTGCATGTATGCATGCCCCGCGCTTACTTGTTGAGTTTTTTCGCTATGTGCGCAAGTGCATGCGTATGTGGGCGAGTCTCACTTTGGTGGGCTCAGATGATGTCATTGATGATTGGCCCGGGGAAGAACTCCTCCACTTTTCTGAGAAATTCCTGTCCATTGTCCCGTTGATGTTTTTGCAGCTAAAGATTCAGATTCAGACTTTGTTTGCTGTGTTCTCTGGATATGTTTGTGATCAAGCCATCTTGCATGTATGCATGCCCCGTGCTTGTTGAGTTTTTTCGCTATGTGCGCAAGTGCATGCGTGTGTGGGCGAGTCTCACTTTGGTGGGCTCGGATGATGTCATTGATGATTGGCCCGGGGAAGTTGGAAGTCGCCTCCAACAACAATAGGAGTGCCACTGATGTTAAGAAGCAGGGGTTTTGCATTGTATGAATGATGAAACAATCAGCAGCATTCAATCTGCTTCGCAGTTTCTCTTCACATGGGGGACTTGTCGGGAGTAGCATTGACATGAGAGCATCTTGGAGCATTTCCAGGAAGGCAAACGCAAAGAAGAAACGAAGTAGCACGTGTCAGAGTCACATAACGGACAGCTTGGCACAGGCCCCCCCCTTCTCTCTCTCACACACACACACAAAAAAAAAAAATAAAAAAAAATCAAAAGACAAAAGACAAAATACAAAAGACATCCTGGCACTTGGGGCGGCTATACCACTCACCACCTCGCCGGCTTCCCCTCACCCTCCTTTCTGCCGTCTATCTCTCTCTCTCACACACACATACGGAAAAAAAATAGAGAAGAAAAAGACAAAAAAGCATGATGAACCTTTAACCTCCCCCCCAGTCACCGACTTCCTCCTAATCCTCATCGACTCCCCCATCTCTCTCTCTCTCTCTCTCTCTCTCGCTCTCTCTCTCGCATGCGCGCATCCCACTGTTTACTTTCCTGTAACGGTCCTCCCTTCCCCTTCCCTGTCACTCTCTCACACGCAAGAAAAAGAGATGCAAAAGGCCGACTCCCCCTAATCCTCCTCCCT